TCATTTTAAGATATAAATAATCAGTTCCTCTACATTCTGCTGACAATATTTATATTATTATATAGAAACAGGCTTATATTCTCTATAATATCAAGACTCTGAAGAGAGAAAAGTCTTGATAGAGAGTATATAGTAGTGTATATCTTAGCAGTTTCTATTTCATTCTTCTGCAGCAGTTAATGCAACAAAAAAAGATCTTAAAATTAGTTTTTTACTTCTCTTGACAAAGTAAGATATTTTTCTCTGAGTTTTAAACAATATTCTTATAAAGAATTAAAAACAGAGTTATTTTCTATTATAATTTTATATTCTTTTAAGTAAGAATTACTTTTTCAGTAACTGAAGAGCTTTTATTAATACTTAATTCTCTTTTATACTCTTTATTAACTGATTTAAGTTATACACTTATTGTGTGAGAAGAATTGAATGATTTAGAATAAAATTAAATAGTTTTAATCAATTTCTCTGTGAAAAATTAACTTATTTTTTATCAGATTTTCTCTTAAAAACTGTCATATTGTCTGATTTATTATTAATTGATATCATACTTTTTCTCACTATATCTTAAAAAAGAGTTTATAAAGATTTTATTAATTTATCTTAAAAATTAATTTTAGTTTATTAGATTCTTTTCAAAAATCTAACCTAGTTACTGAACTAGTATGAAAAAAATCAGATATTTTATAGACAAAAGTCTTTCATTCTTCTTTTAAAACAGTCTGATCAACTTTTGAATTGAAAATCAACTAATAAATCTCTCAATTGAAACAGTCTGACCAACTTTTCATTTGAAAATAAACTGATAAATCTCTTAATTAAAACAGTTTGATTGTGATTCAAAGGTTGCTTGAGCCAGCGTACGATTACAGGCGTACGTCGGCTTCTTATATACTGTTCACTAAATTAATTGGTGGCTGCTATGGCCTCTTTACATTCGTAAGCAAGTTCGGAAGCGGCCGCATTATCATCTGGCGGTTGTATGTTCTTCCGAATCACATCCTCTCTCACCAGATTTGATCACACTCATATGACCATGATGTACACTCTAGCTTCATGCAGATTAGCACATCACTAGTGTTCATAATTATGTGACCTATTTCTAATTCAGCTAGCATTCTGTGTATATTCTTACAAAGAAACTTTCATTATATTATATCACTCATTTACTAACTTTTTTCATTCTTTAATTATCTTCTTCATTATCATCATCATTGAATATTATTATCTCATTCAAGATTTCTGCTTCTTCTTTCATTCAACATCTTCTATCTGTTATTTATCTATTACATTATACATGTTTCTGATGATGACTCTCTGTTTTCATAACAAGCATTCTCATAGTGCTTATATTAGGGAATTTGTTAGCAGTAAGTGTAACACATTGTGAAACATGACCAGGACTTGTTTTCTTCTAATAATTATCAGAATATATTATTATAAATAACACATTTTCTTCATCTTCTTATACACTCTTAATCTTCTTTTTCTAGCAGATATCTGATCATGTTTTACATGAACACCTATACTGATATTTTATTTTAATTTATATAGAATCTTCACATATTGACAGATTCATATCTGTCAATGATAGTGAACATCTCAATGTTGAATTATTGATTAAAAACTTGAAAAATATGATAATGAAGAAATTATCTGTATTATATATAACTGAGTCTTCTGTATCTCTCTCTGCTCTCTCTATTTCTTTCTCTATCACTCTCTCTCAATCTCTTACATCTGTCTCTGTGTCTGATTCTTCTGCTTCTGCTATCTCTGTTTCTGTGACTCTCACTTCTGCTACTTCTGCTTTCTCTGCTTCTATCATCTCTGCTTTTATTATCAGCTCTCCTCATTTCAAGAAGATATTATGTAGACTTAATGAATCATGTTTCTCAGTATATATACTCTCAATCTTCTTACTGATCTCTAAAATAATTTATTATACAAAGACTGTATACAATATAACTATCTGAAGCTTGATTATAAACACTGATTATTACATTCATTTTAAATATTCATAATAAGATAATCATTTATTCATATCAGAGAATCATTCTCTCTTTCAACAGTATTAAGATTATAAGTCTTTTCTTTTTTCATCTTTTCTTTCTGACACTGATTTTCTTATTCTTAGAAAAAATTGTTATGAGTTTTATTATATACAAAGTCATGATATTCACAGACACTAAGAAACTTTTTACAATTATCAAATTCAATATTATAGACATATTCACTCTGATGAATATCTTTAGAATAATCAATCTATATCAGCCTATTCTGTAGTATTTATTATCTGACTTTGTGATACAGATGAAGAATATCTGTGTTTTTAGAAACAGAAACACAGATGTTATACTCTTTTACACTTATGAGTGTGAGACTCATATGTCTTGTCTGAAATGTTATTATAAGAATGAGTTATTCATACACTGTATTCTACTTTCTATATTTCTCTATGTCTTTCTCTCTCTTTCTGAGAAGCCTTGTATGTGTTGTAATTATATATACAACTCTAAAACTAGCAGATGTTCATTCAGTAACTGTTCTCATCTCTGATTTTACAGTTCTTATATACTAACAATGATTCTTAGTTACTCTGATGTCAGAGACTATTCTAATCAAAGATAATTATACTGCTGAGACTATCTTCTTTCACTCTTAAGCTTCTTTTATCACTTTCTCTTTCTTCTCTGCAGAGAAGATTGTGTATATATCAGATTATAAGTATTTAACTCTGAGTGACTTCTGCTGTTATTTATCTGATTCTGTGTTCTCTTCTTCTTTCATTTCTTCTGTCTCTGTTCTCTCTGTCTTGACTTCTGATTCTGTGAATTTTGCACTCTTCTTTAATTTTTCTACACATATATATACACATTTCTATATTGATATTCCAGTCAATCTTGTAATCAATGATATTAATGTTATACACAGAGTAGTAGAGAAATTAGAGATATATACAGTATTGTTGTGAGAGCAGCTTACAGCTCTCAAATTCCTTATAAATCTTGAGTTTTGAGATTTCCTTTATTTTTGATGTTTTTCAGATGATATGACATTGGAAATAGATTAAATATGTGATGTATGAAAATGAATGAGATATATATAGTAATATTTATCTTTTACAGTCAACTCTTACAGTTAGTGACTAATTCATTATCTCTTCTCTTTTCTTATACTTTTTCTTTATCTGCTAGTTACTACTCTTACATGATCTCTATATAATACAGTATTTAGTGACTAGATTCAGCAGCTTTCATCTCTTATAATTCTGTCTCATACATTATACTGTCTCTCTTCACTCACTGAGACTACTACAGTGAACAGGTTATTAAAACTAATCTCACTCAATCTCTGAGCATTTTCAGAAATTAAGATAACTTAGTTTCACATATCTGCAGATGTTTCAGATGCTTCATTCTCTATTATCTCTGTAATTAAACTGGTGTAAACAGTTGAATTCAACTCTGAGTTTCTTTTTCTTCTACAATCTGACTTATGTGTAAGTCTGTTACTCTGAGACTGCTCTTTACTATATTACATCTGCTATCTACAGTGTATTATCATATAATTATCTACAGTCTCATTACTTATTAAAGTGTGATATTTATCTAATTTCTTCATTTCTTCTCATTCTTTTCTTATAATTGTGAAAAGATTGAAATAAGTGAGATTATCTGATTTATAAGTGTCTATGATTTCTCTTACTTCATGAGACTTTTTAATTATAAGCTTCTTCTTTTTCAACACTGATAATAGTGCTGTAGATGATTATAATTCACTCAGATCTTACATCTTTGTTTTTATAAAATATGAATTATTTATTAAGTTATATAAGATTCATCTCTCTGATTCTTTCAATGTGTATATTCTCAGAGAATGTGATTTGAGTATTTTATATAACTCAAATCATCTAGATTGAAACTTCTCAGAACTCTCATTGTATATAAGAACTCATATTCTTATCTTAAGACTCAATTTCTTAACTAGTGAGTCTCATATTCTTTTCAATTGAATTACTCAGTTCAGAAGTAACTTATTAACTTTTATATATACATAACTGATCTCTTTCAATCTTGATTCTGCATCTGCAACTGCTGCATCTGTAACTATTATGTCTGCAACTATTGTTTCTACTGTGTCTGTAACTGATGCATCTGTAACTGCTGTTCTCTCTCTCACTTTTTCTGAAGCATTCCTCAGAATGTGCAGATGCAATTCATACAACAGATGAAATGATAAACACTTAAAGACTGCATGCTGCTGAATTCGCATGACTAATAGTGTCTGACTGAGATATTCATCTCATAATTGTGTTGACTTGTTCACTAGATATTTCATCAGCATATTACTCAAGATTTCATTTAAGTATTTTATCTTTCTATTTATTCATGAATAATATAGTATTGTTCTACAATATCTTGTCTGTAACTGGCTTATAAAATGTCTCATCACTTCTTCTACAAGATTCACACTGTTATCAGTTAGAATCTCATACAGTATTTCATAATTGATATAGATTTCATCATGTAGAAACTTCACTATCATCTTCTCTATCATCTCTGAAACTGCTTTCATGACTGACCAGCTAGTAAACCTAATAGAAAAACTTCAATTTCTAAGTCATATAGAGTAATATCTCTATTGAACTGCCTAGGAAAGGTTTTAGAAAAGATAATAGCTACTTAACTATCTTTTATAAGCTCTATAGATGATTCTCTTTTATTCAGTGAATAAATGAGAGATAGACAACAATATTCTGCAATTGACACTATTCTCTCAGTTATTCATGATATTCAAATAGCAAAGTATGAAGATCTGGTCTCAACTGCAGTTTTTATTGACATAAAAGAAGCATTTGATCATGTTTCAAAGTCAAAGTGAATTCAGACTTTGAAGATGTTAAAACTGCCACTTTCTCTAATAAAATGAGTTAACTGTTTTATGTCTAAAAGAATCATACAACTTTTCTTTGATGGAATGAAACAAGACAAGACTGAGATAAAAATAGAAGTGCTGTAAGAATCTTCAATCTCACTCCTTTTATTTACAATATACACTGCATATCCATTCAAAGATAGAAATATGAAAATAGTGCAATCTTCAAGTTATGTAGATGATATTGATCTAGTTTACAGCTTAAAAACTATTAAAGAGAATTTGAAAGTAATTGAAGAAGCTGTAAAGAAAATCCTTATCAGAGCAGATATTAATTAAATTCAATTTAATATGAATAAAACTGAGTTAATTCATTTCTTTTCTAGATTCAATGAGAAAGAACTATCTCTAACTCTTTTAAATAGAGAGATTAAACCCAGTTTAAATATCAAATGATTAGGAGTATGATTAAACTCCAAGTTGAATTTTAAATATCATATTTAACAAAGAACTGTCAAGGCAGAAAGACTATTGAACAACATTATCAGACTATGAAATACAGAGAGAGGTCTATTCTTCCAGGCTATGAGACAGTTATATATCCTGTATTACCTCAGTAGCTGATTATGAAGTTCAAGTTTGATGAAATAATCAAGAAAATTTCACTGAACTCTTTCAAAGTCTGTAAAACAGAGCTTTGAGAAGAATTCTGAGAGCATTTAAATCATCTTCTATTAGAGCAATGAAAATTGAAGCTTTAATTCTCTCTTCTGCTATTAGATTTGAAAAGGCCTGTATGAACTATACTCTGAGAGTTATAAAGATGAGCTCAAATCATATAATCAGAGAAAGAGTCTCTTTCTTATTTTCATCAGTTAACTCTGAAAATGAACTGGATTGAAATAGATTTCTTGATTGAAATGAAAATAATTCTTCAAAGAAAATGTCTTCTCAACTGTATAGACTATGCTCTCTGATTAAAAATTAATTTTCTTCTTTAAATATTGAAAAAGTTGATCATGAGAAGTTATCTCTCTGAAGAGAAAAGCTTGAATCTCTTATAAACTTATAAATAAGTGAACTATCTAAAGAGAAAGAATATGAACAGTATTTAAAGAGAATTTCTATAATCAATATAAAAGACTCTATTCTGATTTATTCAGATGACTTAAAAAATGAGAATTTGAATAGATTAGATGCAGGCATTGCTTACATTGAAGATAATATTAATTTTATCTCAGATTTCTGGAATTTAGACTGTGAATCTGAAGTCTTTGATGCTGAATTATTTGCAATAGTGAAAGCTTTCAAACTTATTAAAATAAAATCTCATAAAAGAGAAAATAGTTTGAAAGAGATATGAATATTCTCTGATAGTCAAGCTACTTTAAAAAGACTTAGAAATAGTCAGATTCATAATGATTAAATGAATCTTGAACTGATCTTAAACTTCATTTTAAAAATTCAAAAGAGAAGAATATCAAGACTGATAATTCATCTGCACTGAGTTCCTGCTCATATGAATATTCATGATAATGAATTGACTGATTCAGCTGTAAAAAAAGGTTCAGAATTAAGCAGATCTGTTCAAAAAATTGTGTCCTGGTCTTTTATAAAGAGAAAAATAAAAGAATCTTGTTTAAACAAGTGAAATGAAAGCTGGCAGAAATAAAAGAAGAGTATACATTATTCAAGATTTGAAACAAAATCCAAGTGAAAATCTTGTTTAATTAAATATAAAAAGAAAATATTCTCATCTATAATACAGCTGAAATTAGAATATAACTATTTTAAATCTTATATACAAAGATTTGATGATAGATTTGATTCAATAGAATGCTCATTCTGCAATGCAAATGAGAATTCTGAGTATATTGTAATACACTGTACATTATACAATAGTCTCAGAGTCAGATTGAAAGAGAAGTACAATCTAAATCAATTAAATATGAGATTCTTATTCTCAACTGAGACAGGAATTAAATACTTAATAGACTTTCTATCAGAAACTC